GTGTTCCCTTCTGGAGACTTAATAGAAATCTGAGTATCAACCTCCCAAAAAGCTATGTAACATTTCCTTGATCTCAGAATATTCTCTTTCAGGCAGTCCTTCAATAATTTCGTGACTCTCACCTGTTTTCCTTTTGCACATCTTTGACATCTAAATTTTAAAAATTTAAGTACTTGACAAATGATATACTATCTAATATGTTCTATATTACATATGCTTTAAAGATTAAAAAAAGGAGGAGGAGAAAACAAAATACTATGGGTCCTTCAAGGAATTTAGGGATTGGGGCAAAATGTTCTGCTTTTACAAGGGTGCCTTTTACACACTTGGTTTTACTTGTTTTGCTTGGTGAACTCATTGTCTGACCCATGACCACAGGGCCTTTGTTCCATGGAAATGTTCCTGAAACTGGCAGGACCCCTGTGGTAATATTGCCTGTCAGTGACTAATTTCTCCTTTCACTGGAGTTTTTGATTTTAGAACCTAGGGTCTGTCACAAAATGATAAGCACCCTAGTGGCTCTTTGTATTTTTATTATTATTTTTTTTTCTTTTTGAGACAGATTCTCAGTCTGCCACCCTGGATAGAATGCTGTGGCATCATTATAGCTCACAGCAGCCTCAAATTCTTGGGATCAGGAGATCCTCTTGCCTCAGTCTCCTAAGTACCTGGGAATACAGATGCCCAGCTAAAGTTTGTTCTTAACATGCTTCACCTGTGTCCAAGGTTGCTGTTATTTTGCTTTCAAAAGATGTTTAGAAACAACAAAAAATTGTTTCTAACAAATTAGAAAACAGTCTAACTTATGTACCAGGGGCCAAAAATGAAACATATTCACCAGAAAGGGTGAGATGTCCTCAATACAAATAAATTCTGAATAAAGTCAGAGAGCTCAACCAAAAGAAGGGAGTTCCAATCAACAGAGGACTTACCACCCAGGGAAAACATAACGCCAGGAAGTGGAGAGTATAGTGGGCTGAGGTGGGCCCTGCACACTGCTCCAGAGGCCTCAAGTCAGGAAAGGATCTTGTTCTTAGTAACAACTTGAAATGAACAAGAGAGAGACCAACCGTCTAAACAAGGAGTTTATTTGGGAATAGCAGGTAATCACAGCCTAAGATATGTGTGCTGTGGTGGACTATAACAGTTTATAGAGTTGGGGGGCAGCACCTGTGGCTCAGTGTGTAGGGCGCTGGCCCCATATACCAAAGTTGGCAGGTTCCAACCTGACCCCGGCCAAATTGCAACAAAAAATATCTGGGCGTTATGGCGGGCGCCTGTAGTCCCAGCTACTCGGGAGGCTGAGGCAAGAGAATCACCTAAGCCCAGGAGTTGGA